TTATAGAGCTTCTCCATCTTTGGCTGCAGAGAACATAATCAATCTGATTTTGGTATTGCCCATCTGGTGATTTCCATGTGTAGAGTCACCTCTTGCGTTGTTGGAAAAGAGTGTTTGTGATGACCAGCTTGTTCTCTTGACAAAACTCTATTAGCCTTTGCCCTGCTTCGTTTTGAACTCCAAGGCCAAACTTTCCTGTTGTTTCTTTTATCTTTTGACTCCCTACTTTAGCATCCCAATCCCCTATAATGACAAGAACATCTTTCTTTGGTGTCAGTTCTAGAAGGTTTTGCAAGTCTTCATAGAATTGGTTCAATTTCAGCCTCTTCAGCATTGGTGGTTGGTGCATAAACTTGGATTATTGTGATGTTGAAAGGTCTGTGTTAGATTCGTATTGAAATCATTCTATCATTTTTGAGATTGTATCCCAGTACAGCTTTTCTCACTCTTTTGTCAAGTACTAAGAAATGGGCTACTCCATTTCTTCTATGGGATTCTTGCCCACAATAGTAAGCGGCATTTAGATGTTATTAAATCCTTTGTTCGTATTGAATGGTGGCATTTATTTATTAGAAAAGATGAATATGGGAGAAAACTTTATTAAGCGGTTAAGAAACCAGTATGAAGGGTCAAAGTCCAAAGTGATGATAAATGGAATAGAATTGGATAATTAGAATTGCATAGAGGAACAAGACAAGGAGACCTTTAATCTCCGTTAATATTTGCTCTGGCTATTGAACCATTGGAAGTATAGAGTACTGTAGAGAAAATGATAACATTACCGGCATGACAACCAAGAACAGACAGCATTAAATTAACTTATATACCAACGGCATGCTTGTTTTTCCGAAAATCCATTGAAAAGCAAAGAGGTGCTGAGACGAATATTGGATTTAATCAACACACAGGACTAAAAATAAAAAATCTGAATTGTTATGTATAAACATTTATATAGTACCCTGTTTCCCCGAAAATAAGACAGCGTCTTATATTAACGTGGAAAAAATTATTGCAGGGAAAGGTTAGGCTCATAAATTCTGTAAAATATCGACCAAGTGTAAAAGGAGGATTAGCATTACGACGTTTAATAAAATATTATGAAGCTTTTCAAATAGCTCAAGTAGTTAACTTTATAAAGGAGAAAGAGACTCCTGAATGGATTCAAATGGAAGAGGAAGGGAAAGGAAGTCTAATTAAGGGATAGGGGGCAATAAAGGGTTAATGAAAGAATAACAGACATTGGGTCATCGCACACAATTGAAAAATAAATATGATACTGGTGTGTCTATCTTTTTGTGAGCAGATGATCAGAGCTCCTCAGAGAAAAGAAAGGATGCAAATAAATACTGAAATACTGCGTCGTAATCTACGTTTCACGGATCAACTCCCGGGGAATTGATTGTTTTAAAGGGTTAATGATAGTTGCGAGGAATCATGGGAGTCGCGGGCCTCTGGGAATCATGGGAGTTGTAGGAAAATATATGGGAGAGTGTTCTATGTAATGGCTGCCCAACCTTTGAGGTAATGTACTCTATTTTTTTGTTTTATTCCATCCGACCCTCTCCCTTCTCCCAAACAGGCGGCGGGATCCGCTGTCCCTCGAGCAACGGCGCGCCTCCTCTCGCCAGGGAAGGGGCCGGCGGTGTGTGAACGACGCCAGCGAGTTTGTGCTGTCGCGTAGTAAAGAGTTCTGGGAGAACCGGAAAGTTAACAACTTTCCTCTTTTGACTTGTTGCTGTCGTTGCCGTTGTGCTTTTCTGATCCTGGATTTTGCTGAGACACGCCCCCACCCCAAGTGAGTGGATCGAAATGGCCCCATTGAGTGAAGCGCACTGTGGTTGTGGTTGTTGTTGTTGTTTAGCATAACAAGCGTTGCACCGTCATTATTCCCCTTCCAAACGAGCGGTGCGGTTCCCAACTCCCGGTGTTTGGATACAGGCTGAGAAGTTGGGTTTCGCTTTTGACCCTCTCTTCTCAAGCGGTTTTCAGAGTAACTTTGGTTGTGTTGCAGTTGATTTATTTCCCCCTATTAAAAAAGCAACAGCAACATTCAGTGCGTTGTGTAATGACGGCATGCCGTGGGCAGCTGCTGTTTGGAACAGCTGAGAGGAGCCAGAAAGGGTTCAGATGTGGTGCAACCGGCTCTCGAACCGGCAGAGTAAACAAGAAAGTACAGTATAGTGGCTGCGAGGTATATCGCGACCTTTTTTTGCTGGCCCAACGATGTGTTGGTAAGAACAGACAAGAATGGGTCTTCTTGGGCGCCGTCTGAATAGGCTGCTTGCCCGCTGGCTGGGCTGGCATGCAGTTCGCAGGATCAGCTGTTCTTTCTTTCTGTTTGGCAACAGCATAGTCCCGGGCACGTTTACTCAGAAGTAAGCTCCCCTTTGAGATCATCGCGGCAGGTCTCCAAGGAAGTAGGCGCAAGCATTCTGGTTTTGAAGCACTTTGTTTCCTGCTCCGCCTGACAGTGACCTCCTTCCTAACTCTTGTGTGATTTCACTGTTGGAGGCACTTCCTAAACAACTGTTGGTTTTCTTCACTCGGATTGTTTGTTTTATATTTATATCTCAGTCCAACTGGTCTTCTAATCTGGAAGAGGTGGGCATGCTCACTGCTGATTTTGCCCTCCAAACGAACAACTTTTAAAGGTTGATCAGGCTGACAAATAGTGACCTGGCAGGCTTCATAAGGCAAGTGCAAATTTCAACCCAGATCTGTTATGTCCCTTGAATATTGTTCATTTCTTAGAACACTGCCTTTTGCTATCAGTTTGTTGGAAGCTATCAGCATCTCCCTTTATAATCTGTTGATGAATCTAAGAGTGGCTTTCACTTTTTCCAGTTCTTTCTGTTTTTTTTTTAATGCTGACATGTAAACATTTTTAGCCTCCTAATCCTACAGGCCTGGTTTCCTGCAGATGACAGGGTGGAGTTGCCAATGTCAAACCTAGTGACATATTGTTATGTTATCTACCCAGCTCACAGCAGCTTCTTTCTAGTGATTCAGTTCTAAATCTTATTGTAAAGAACAATAATTTATGTTAACATGAATCACATCTTTGGTGTGCTGTCTGATTTTTTTTTAAAGTCAGATATCTACCCTTGTATATATAGCCGAATTTTGCTAGTTGTATAAATTAAAGTGGTGCAAAAGTCAGTTACTTCCTTCACTGTTTGAGTGGAGGTTTCGATCTTAAAGGTGCTCACAAAATCTTTTAGTTCTCATCAATGTCAGACTTTCTGGATCAAAGAAAAACTGCGAATACCTGTAGTAGATAAATAAAAAACAAGGACATGAAATTTAAAACTGTCAGGTTTCATTAAGCAGAGAAGGCACAATGAAGTGAAAAGATCTACAGTGGGGTCTTGACTTGAGAACTTAATCCGTATTTGAAGGCGGTTCTCAAGTCAAAAAGTCTGTAAGTCAAGTCTCCATTGACCTACAGTGCATTGAAAACCGATTAATCCCGTAACAGGCCGTTTTTGTTCCATTTTGGTTTTTTTCTGGTCTGTAAGTCAAATCTCAGGCTGCAAGTCAAACCTAAATTTTGCGGCCAGAGAAGTCTGTAACTCAAAAAGTCTGTAAGTCAAGCCGTCTGTAAGTCAAGGGTCCACTGTACATTGGTTTTTAATTTAAATATAAGACACTACAATACAAAAATGCAGTACACAAATTTGGATACTGAAGACAAGAACAACTGCTGCAGGCATTCTCCATTGGCTCAGAATGGAGGTAAATGAAAATATCTTTACTAACTATGAAAAGGAATGGAGTGACCTTAAGAAGGAGTAAATTAAAAGTCTGTCACTGAAAAAGGCCATGCTATTAGTCTATGATGAGCTAAACTTCTAATTGGTTGTGCACAGATCAGGGCTTGATTAACAGATCTTAATTACTGTAGTAGGTTGTATACACTCTGACAATAGGACCCCAAAGGCTTTATGGCAGGGTGGGCCACATGTGACCTGTAAGCTCCATGCAACGTCAACGTGTGAGGACCAAAATCCTGTCCCCTAGCACCCCTATTTATTCATAAAATTATTATTTTAAATGTTTTTGGAGGTCGGAGGAAAGCCACAAAACGTTCCCTTGTACAGTGGACCCTTGACTTACAGACGGCTTGACTTACAGACTTTTTGAGTTACAGACTTCTCTGGCCGCAAAATTTAGGTTTGACTTGCAGCCTGAGAATTGACTTACAGACCAGAAAAAAACCCAAATGGAACAAAAACGGCCTGTTACGGGATTAGGCGGTTTTCAATGCACTGTAGGTCAATGGAGACTTGACCTACAGACTTTTTGACTTGAGAACCGCCTTCCAATACGGATTAAGTTCTCAAGTCAAGACCCCACTGTACTGTAAAGGTAAAAGGTAAAGGGCAATTTTGCCTTGTTTTGAAGGGATCCCAGCGATCTTTTCCCACAATGAATTTTAAAATATGATTTAGAAAAATTAATTTTTGATCTGGTAATATACATTGGGGGCTTTTTTCAGTGAATGCCCCTATTTTTTGTAAGAATGGAGGGGAATTGGGGGAGCGAGCACATTCCTCCAAGAGATGGAATGGATGTGTACATCAATAGAGAAGGCAAAAACAAGTTTTGATTCATTTTGTTAGAGGTAGGTAGGGAAGAAACAGTGGCTGTGAGCTTAATATAACTGCCTGCTTGCCCCTAAGAAACTGATGGACCAAGATTAACATATCTAATCCTTTTGCCAGATGAGATGGGTAAAGCACTAGGGGCTCAATGATAAATTTAAACTTCAGTTTCATGTGTGTGTTAATTAGTTAAGATTTTGCATTTAAAATATTATGATCTGAAACTTAGTGAGGGTAGTGGCCCTTTTCTTTCTTTATGAGGCTAATTGGGAGACTTTTGCCTGAAACAAAGGTTTGCATGGACCCAGTTTCATTTTGTTTTCAAACCAGTAAGCATGTTCATAGGCTGTTCACATTTTTGGCCTTTGTACTTGTTACAATGTATATAACTGCTTTACATTTTGCAAAGTGTCTTAGAGTCTGTAGCTGTATTTAATCATTCTAGCTAGGATGATGAAAGAGCCCCCATCATTCCAAGTTTCTGTAGCTAATGTTTGGAGATGAATGAAGTTCCAAGCCAGCACAGGTGTTATCAGCTACAGAGCTGAGATAGAGGAAAAATAGCATTTTAATATTGAATTGCTCTGCATATCTACACATAAGTCTATAAGAGCTATTGAGTTCTCTGGGTTCAGTGCAGCTTGAATAGGTGACAGAGGTAATGTCTCTATTGCTTGTTTTTTTATGCTGTAATCCTATAATCACCTGGGAGCAAACCCCACTGAACTCAGTGGGACCTATTTCTGAGGTCTGAAGTTATAGGGTTCTGTGGTTGGTTAAGCAGCTGGGCTCCATGCATGTTTTGTTAATGGATGGTTTCACTGAAAACTCAATCCTATAGCAAACTAAAATTGGGGTTGTTATTCTACTGTTTCCATATTAATCATTCTCTTGGGATGGGGAAACACGTGGGTTTCCAGATCTTGGATGACTGCAACACCTATCATGATGGGAATTGAAGTCCAACTATACCTGAAGTTGGGAGGCTACACTTTTGCTATCACTGCTGCATGCTGTCTTTATTCAGCTGGAATTCCACAACTTAGCAACTACATTCAATTAATAATACATTTTTGAACAGCTGCAAAATTACACAGGACATGAAGGATGCAAACATCATCACATTGTACAAGAACAAAGGAGACAGAGGCGACTGCAATAACTACTGTGGCATCTCTCTTCTCAATGTTGTAGGGAAGCTGCTTGCCCGTGTTGTGCTGAAGAGGCTCCAGGTGCTTGCAGACAGAGTCTATCCAGAATCACAGTGTGGATTTCGGGCTAATAGATCCACCACTGACATGGTATTCTCCCTCAGACAGTTGCAGGAGAAATGCAAGGAACAACAACAGCCACTCTTTATGGTCTTCATAGATCTCATAAAGGCCTTTGACATGGTTAGCAGGGATGGCCTTTTTAAAATACTTCCCAAGATTGGTTGTCCACCTCAACTCCTTAGCATCATCAGGTCCT